TTAGAACCATTAGTTATTCAGTAAAAACATGTTTCTTAGTTTATTATTTTTGCCAACCCAGCCTGATAACTTTGTGGCTATTATGTTTGATGTGTATCAACTTAGCAGTTGCCTGCAAATTCATTTAATACGTTAGCTGCCATGTCGGACATATGTCCGACAAGCTAATGTTTCAATCAGGCCGTGTCGGACTATGTGTCCGACAAGCCATACTTCCATTTAACACCTCGCTATGGCTTTTTAATCCAATTGTTGTATACAGCGTAACCCGTAAGGCCCCATTCAAATGGTTTTGGACAAATTTAAAAAATATATATATTTCGTTTTTCTAAAAATCTTTCTGGCAGCTAAGGTGTTAAGAAAATCTAATGTTTGCCATTTATTTGGCTCCCAGTGTAGCACATGCAATACAACAAAAGGTTTTTGATCATTTATGCTTTTTTGTTCAAGACTTAACCCTTAAATGGACGATTTTTTTTTTACGTTTTAAAAAAATATATTTGTGTAATAGACATGTATTACTGTCTAGGAAAAATGAGTAAAAAAATCTAGACATGAATTTACTATTTTTTTTAGAAATAAGAACTAGTTGTCAAAATTAACAAAAAAATAAAATAAAGATAATTTTATCTGTGATGTTTAGTATGTTGTTTAAAAACAACATTGTCCATTTAAGGGTTAACGGTGAGTAGAAGCAACAACACAACAACATAAACAAAGACAAAAAGTCATATTTTATTTACAATTTGTTTATTTTCGACATACAATTGTATATCCCAAAAGTTTGTTCATGTCCGATCAACTTATGCTAATTTCATTCCTACGCACGGAAGAAACATCAAGGTCGTACAAAATACATGATTCTGATTCCTTGTTAAATAAACCAAATAAAATTACAAATCTACAACATTTCTGCAATGAGATCCAGAACAAATGACCTTCAGGAGAGAGGGGCTGGACACCGCACACAACCACACACACAAACGACGCACGACGACAGGACGACAGGACGACAGATTATTCTAATTTAAGCTCTGTATCGTAGAATATTACTAAAAAATCAGTTAAAATGGTTCATAATTTCCATACTATTCAAGTCAAATTGATCTATTCAGCAATAATACTCCAAGTGAATCTATAAATCAATACTATATTATAATAAATTTATGAAAGGGTCACGCGCCCGGTTCCCTCCCGGGCTACGCTACGCGCTATTTGTTAACGACTTCATTATTAATCCTTATCAAAAATCTTAAGATTGTTTTCTTATATTAATATGTGGAATGGAATGACGCGCCCCCGCGCGGCGAGAGGGGCGCGGGGACGCTCATGACCGGTGACTTAACCTGCAACAAGACAACATACAATTATTGCTTCGCTACAATTTAATAAGCAAACGTCCAAACGCGACTGCAGACCTAAGCCGAGAGCACAAGGTGAGGGTCAAAGCTGAACTGTGGGCAGACATGCGAGGATGCACATACATTGCTAGCACTTTGATGCGCCATGTAAAATACTACGCAATAAAAAAAACTATTCCTGTGGTACAATTTTTTCAACAATTTTTAACTTTTTTCCCATAAACAAAAAATATGACATTCGTCTTAAAAAAATTAATAAAGAATATTCAATAAGTCCTATTTTTATTAAAGTTTGTAATGTTTCCCCCGAATAATGTGTAAGTGATACATAAGAACGACATTTTATATTGATAATATCACTAATAGTTTATCAGACAAAAATTAAGGAAGCCACATTTAATAAGTCTCTATTAAGCTTATCCAAAAGCAAACAAAAATATGCCATTCTAAAAGAAGATACAGACTAACCACACTTACTAAAATAATTATAACTAATGAAAAATGTTGAAAATTCTGAATCAGCGATATTAAATTAATGTCTTATGCGGTCCTGTACGTCCATCCTTCACAAATAACTAATAAACTATGTTCTCGACTTACTCGTATCATTGCATTCTTACATAGAATTTATCAAGATCAAGAACACACAGCTGTGGCAACTGACATTATGGCAGACTGCCACCTGTTTCAGATCAGAATTTTCAAAGGGTTTTAAGGGCTTACCTTATTATTGGACTGAGATGACTATGGGCAGGTACAGAGAGTTTAGTAGGGCTGGTGCCTCTGGTTGGTGCGGCCGCCGCCGCCGCCGCCGCGCTGCTTGCCGCCTTGGTAGCCCGCTGCAAATCATTGCATACACTGCCTAAATGTCGCTAGATCCTATGTATACAAATACTAACGGATGATGCTGTTCTAATCCATGATCCAATACTAGCAAAAATGAAAGCTCGACACGACGGTACAACGCTGCCAAATGCCGAGTCGATTTTGACAATTTAGTAAAATGTGGATGCTTTTTCTAACGAAATTATGCAGATAGCCATTTACAACTAAGACTTCATAACCATTCGTATTGAAGCTCAATTAGGTATTAATTATCCCAAAATAATATTTGAGACCGATTGAATCTGCCTAGAACTAGACTTAGTTATAAATGACATCTCATTGCATGTACAACATCGCAACTAGCTATGTATAAGCCTACACATGTCTGAAGAGAAAAGAACTAGACAAAGTAAAGGACAGGCAGATCTACGAAAGCCGGCAAACTGTATGGACTCTGTGACTTTATTGGTAAAACCTACGACGCTTTGACGGAAATGTAACTTCAAAAATATTAAATCCTAAACCAAACATTTAGTGCGATAGCTAAACCATGACTAAATGGTTCATTGTTACATATTTTTTATAATTAACTTCTACCACAAATCTCTATTGTGGACAATAAGTATAGATTATGTAGTGTTTGTAACGACACTACGCAAGGAATTCCATCAAATCGTCGCAGTAGAGAGCTAGGTGTGGGACAGCGAGAGAGATGGAGATGGCGATGGCTTGGGAGAGAATGTGGCAGAGCAGAGGGTCGGCAGTACCTTTCCCGCGTGGAGCCGCGCGCGCGCCGTAGCCGCCCTCGTACCCTCCGTATCCGCCGTAGTCTGCCCGCAATACAAACCATTAGTCCGAGCCCACGAGCATTTTGCTTTGCCCTGATAGCTCTTTTGGACCCCTTCATACATCTTTCAGATTAATGCACTTATGGACTGCATATGGTGCACAAAAGCATTTAAAGCCTACTAATAATCATTTTCTCATAATTTTAAACTAAACTATTTAGCCTTCAAATGGGAAAATATTTCTTTGGACCTATTCTATCACTACCTGAAATCCACCTATTTTTGAAACCCGTTATCTAAAAACAATATTCTAGATAAATCTATGAACGATTTTCAATTCACTTCAGCTGGCAAGAACATTGAACCTTAAACCCCAGTTTGGTTAATGTTTTTATATCTAACTTGATTAAAAATTCTTGTGCTTGCAAATCTTCTCAAGGCAAATTAAAAAGTACAAGTATGAAGCGTAATCATATTTTTTTCATTTCTACATAATTAAAACTAGTATGAAACTAGATTAGACTACTAAAGTTAGACAAAATGTTAAAAACTAAGTAGATATTAATTGATAGCAAAAAGTTGTAGGTATAGTAATGGTTTTGGGAGCCGAGAGCCGAGAGCGTGCCTGCACCAGAGCATGCGGGTTAGTGGCGGTGGCGGCGAGGTTGAGGCGAGGTTGAGGCGAGGTTGCGGCGAGGTTGCGGCGCGGTTGCGACGCGGCGGGCCCGCGGCGAGCGGCGGGTGGCGCGTGGCGAGGTGGCGGGATGTGGATTGGGATCAAATATATGGAAACACATTGAGATTTTTGTAACAGTGCTTTATTCAAAAGCTTCATCATATCTTTATCACTTTCACAATGTCTCTCCATATATTACCCCAATTTCCCAAATGTAGCATGTGGCGAGAGTGTTAATAGGTAAATAAAAATACCAAAAAGAAACAAAACTCGGGCGACATTGCTACATATGTCAAAAGTGGTATTACAAATAAACACTTATAAAACGTAAGGCAGATAACATATGTACAAATACAGTACCCAGTGACACAATGATAAAGAGTGATCGAAACTGGCGGGCGCGTGCTACTACGCTATACGCTATACGGCTATACGGCTATAGGGCACGCGCGGCGATGCAAATCAGTGGAAAAAATCAAATAGCGCAAATTAAATATGATCTCTCGGAAACAAGTTAAGTAAAATGATTAAAATCTAATTACTCCAAAAATGATTAGATAGAACCGTTGGTTATATTGATATATATTGTCTCCGACAACATTCACTACACATTATCTCGATAGAATATCCATGTAAATACGTAGTTATAATAGAAAAATAAATATTTTCTACACTAAATCGTACACCTAAAGTCCACGTTGCTCCGAGTGGATCAACACATACAAGGTAAATAGGCATCTCAAGGACGGAGGCTCGCCCGTCGTCGCTACTCGCTAGTGCCCGTACGCCGCCCATGCCACCGCCGCCGCCGCCGCCGCGAGCCCTCCCAGCACGACCACATCATCGCTGACACCCACAATCAACCCAAACACTTCATTTCAAATTGTAGTCTATTTTTATTTACTCAGAGGTGTGGAAAATATTTATCATTTCTCTGTACTTTTAGGTCCACTTTTATTTAGAATTCCAGGCTTGTCAGATTTTTTGCAATGCAGACTGCCTGTAAAGTTGAATACTCTTGGCGGCAGCATGGGTAGCATTCGGGACACAACATCACGCTAACCTATCCTTACTCTACGTTTACATGCTAAAAATCAGGTAACATCAGTCGAGGTAATGTGTCGGTGAGCGGTGCTTAGCGAACCTCGCCCCTAGTAGTTCTGCTTGCCGCGTTTACCGTAATTAGGGTAGCCGGAGTAATCGTAACCGCCGTATCCGCCGTAGCCGTCGTATCCGTAGCCGCCGTATCCGTATCCATCGTATCCGCCGCCGTAGCCGCCTTGACCGTAGCCGTAGCCACCGTAGCCCTGGTTGCCCCAGGTGCCCTGGCCGCCGTAGCCGCCCCGGCCTCCGCGGCCGCCGCGCGCTCCCCGTCCGCCTCTGCCGCCACGCACGCCCATTCCTCCGGGGCCGTCGGGCTTAGGTGTGGCGCGCTTCACGTCTACCTAGAAGTTCAAATACATTAATTACATGACAGCAAAACACTGAAAAGTCTTATCTACAAGCATTCTTTGTCGACGATCATTCCTCAAAGATCATTGAAAAAAATGTAATAAAGAAAATCTATTATGAAAACACAAAATACAAACAAAACATTTGACTTTTTATTAAGTTACAACGGTTGTTAGAAGCATAACACTGACATAACACCTAGAAATTAGTAATTGTAAATATTATAAGATATAAAATTTTTAATTCATTGACATTCATTATTCTTTGTTGAGATCAAGACAATTGTAGTGCAATTTATGGGTTGCAATAGTCCAAAAATATACTATAATAGTCACAAAGATAAAAAATCAAACACATTTAAACACTTATTGAAGTGTAAATCAGATAATATGCCAACTAAATTTATGTAAAGAAATCTTACCTCCTTGCCACCAATAGTCTGCTTAGGAGTCTTGAGGAGTTCATTGACAACTTGCTCAGACTCAAATGTAATAAAGCAGAATCCTTTTCTTTGGTTCTTTGTCTTATCAAATGGCATTTCAACTTCAATGATCTGAAAGCAAAATATAAATCTATGTACTAAATCCCAGTTTACTAATCTTTGCAAAAAAAAAATTGAATGAATTTTGTCAGTGGCCCGGAGTCATCTTCAGGTAGTCTAGATCTTAATTATCTCACCAAAACCGGAGTTGTCATCATGAATAACACACAAATGATTGCTATTGAATGATTACAATTACTTATTTATCATACTCACTGTGCCAAAATTGCTGAAGAAGTTCTTTATTTCATCATCTGAGATTTCACTGCTTAAACCTCCAACAAATATCTTCCCATGCCTAGCTTTAGCTTTTTTTGGATCAACTTTCTTATTGTTGATTGTGTGGTCTCCTGCTGCCATCACTTTATCAATTGAATCTGGTGCTTTGAAAACAATGAAGGCGAAACCTCTTGACCGCCCTGTGTTGGGATCTGTCTTCACATTGATGCTCTCAATCTCACCATATGCACTGAAGTGATCTCGCAACTCCTCTGTTGAACAACAAACTTACATTAGCATTTGTTAATTACTAATATATTCAATCTCTCAAAAATTGTATCCTCAGTATTGTGGGTAAAGCTTTCTTCAATTAATATCAGAAGCAGAACTGAAATATTCATCATTTAATAATTTACAGTTTTACAAGTGGTTATTTCACTATTAAACATTTGATATTAACTAATTAAATGCCATTTAACTAAAATAAATGAGGAATGGATGGATTAGAGATAACTTACTGTCTGTAGTTTCCCAGCTCAAGCCTCCCACAAAGAGTTTTCTGTAAGTTCATGTAAAAAAAAATTAAAATTGGTGAATTTACAAATAGTAACTATTGCGAATCAGAGAATGTTTAAACTTAAAATTATTACAATTTAACATTAACATTAAACAACTATGCAGTACTTGTTTACAGTACTTTACAGCTACTTATTGTTCAAAAACAAAACTCCAAGCACTGCAGCAAAACAAATTCACAACCTGTAAGTTACAAAAAGGAAAACTGGAAACTTTATAATTAAATTACAGACAACGAGATATAAACAAAGAATGTTACAGTGATATCGCAAGATTTGAAATTGGCAAGTGTGAACGGGGCCCAAAATTAAGTGGCCGAACCAATGAGTGGTCTTTGGTGGTAGCTTTACTTTAGTGTGAGCCCAGCGGATATATACCATGACGTCCTCCGGCGGCAGCTTCGGCGGCGGCGCAGGCTCACACCTGCAGAGAGACAGCCAGTTAGTAGCGCTCCACAGATGTGCGGGGCGAGCGCCCCAAAGCCCCGAGCCACAATCATACCCACTACCACCGATTTAAAATCTTGCAATTAGGCAAAACGGCAAACGGCCCACGCCCGCTCAATAACCGTGACAACAAATCTAACATAACGGATCCGATGCGAAAAATCGATAACGGGACCGGTGCCGGGTGCGAGAGACGCGCGTAAGACGCCATTTTAACTTCATGCGGCTACGAACTAATTCGGAAAAATTATGTCGAAGATAACGTCTGAAATGAAAACTATCACATCCAAGAATGAAATTTAATCGCGAAGAACCAACTGCAAAAGTGAAAACATTGAATTTTGAAAAGACCTTAAGGATTAAAATAGATTAGGATGCCGATAATAATAATGCCGGACCGCCGACGCCATTGCGGGTGGATAAAGATGGTACTGCAAAAGCACATTTACCAAGCTAACATTTCTTATTACATTAAACAAAAGTCAAAATTCAAATGAAAACACTAGTTATAAAGAAGCTTTAATGAAATAAACGAAAATAGCTTTACCTGTCGTCATCGCGTCCCGACGCTTCTCCGTTATTTTCTTGAATATCGCCGCCACCATTTTCCATGTTTCCATTTAATTGTTCCGTAACATCTTGCGCGAAATTGTCGTTATTGGCCATGACTGACTTAAGTGTAGGCTTATTAATAATAAACTAATAACTAAGGTCCGCACACGACCTTCAACAATGAATGCCAAACGCAGAAGAATGAACGGAAGCCGGTGATGAGTCGGCGCGAAATCGCCTAAAATGTTGGCAATGCATACAGACGCGGCTTTTTAGCAAGCGTTCTATCCCTTCCACTTATTTAACCAATGAGCGATAGGGTGTTTCCAGAGGTCAATGGCATTCTTTTTGTGTCAACAAGGATAAAAGATGTCTTTAAGCCTTACACAAAAGAGATAGCAATAACAGGGAACGATCAATACCGGTGCCAACTATACGTTGTTTAGTTTGCCGCCAAGCCGCTCATAACTTAATACATTTTAAGTTGCGTTCAAAGCGATCCTTTTAAGTGATTTATACACAGTACAATGTCTTTCTAAAAATTGTATTATATTTCGAAGCCTAACCTGTTTAAATATAACTTACATTGGCTTTAAAAAAAGTGTAATTTCGATAGTTGTAACGAAATGAAAATATTAAAATAGATTTCTCTGTGCACTTTTGTATAACGCAATATTCAAAAACCAAATTCGAATTATGAGCCGCTGCGATCACGCATTTGTATTATATGCTCTGTTGTTATGTTGTCATTAATAACTTCTGTAAAAAAAACAAAAATCTATCAACAAATTTTATTTGAAGGAAAGAAAAGTAAGATTCATAAAATTTTTATCTACCTAGTATTAAATTATTCAAATATTCAAAAGTTTGGATAATACTTCATAGCAAATTCTGTAACCAAACATAACGATAACTTCAGACGATTACAGTAGCTAAAAAATAGTTTTATAAACCAAAAACAAAACAGAATATTAACATTCTTAAAACCAAAAATTCACTACGACTATCTGCATGTTTTTTGTATTACAATTGTACAGTTGACTAAAAAACCGTTTTCCTTATTTTAAAGAAGCTTAATGTTACATTAGCTTTAATTTAATAACATCTGGCAACACGTTTGTAGAAATTGACTTGACACTAAACGGTGAGGTAGGCTCTTTTTCTGTTTTCAGTCCTTATTTATCGTAAAAATTAAGCGAATTTCGAGACGGTTTGTTGCTGCATATACCATTTTGATGCCTAAAATTTACTAAGGTAAGCTTTTACGTGTTTTCGATGGTTTTATTACACGCAAATTATAATATTTTGATTGTCGGCTGATACATATAATTCTATAGGTTAAAGACCTACTGTTTCGGTGTTACGCCAATTCATTGATTGTAAGATGTATATTAAGCCTTTACAAGTTTTTTTCCGCATTTTCCAGTCAAAATTTAACTAATGTGGTATTTTTTTTGACAATGGAATTATGGTAAATCGAGAGATCAGAGTTTGAGGCGCCATGCGTATTTTGACAAATCGCGTTACTCCTTTTTAGATTTTGCTTCGTTACTTTGCTTTTGATTACAGAGTTAGGTGCCTTAGATTTTTAATGTCTTGGAATGTGCTAAATTTATGTAGTCCAGATACAAATATATATTTATTAATTACTCTGTGAAAAAATATACCACAAATCTTTTGTTTCAAATCGTTAAACGATAATTACTAAAAATACCTTATGGTGATTTATGTTATAAACATAACTAAACAATTCGTATTTATTTACCTTTCACTTGTTCTGTTTACATTGTATCATAATTAATTTAACGAAAAAACTATCAAATGTGAAAATTACAGGTTGTTTCAAAATACTTCTGTTAAATTGTAAAGGTATGGATATGTACATATTCTGAAGTCCATATATATCCAATATGAAATTACCTTTACTGGTGACAATTTAATAGTAACTAAATAAAGTTAATAACAGTTAATTTTTTGTATTAATTATTACCATTTTGATTTTTTAAATAGAAGTCTTATTCTCTATGACCTCATAAAATATTGTTTTTTTTCAACATTAATTCAATCTCTAATTACCAGTTAGTAGTACCAGAGAGTTGTTTGAGCAGGGTGTGTCAATCTGAGGACTGCAATGTAAATAACTTTTTCCCTTTAAAAGATGTCTTTATAATCTTATAAAAAGTAAAGTAATATATTTTATTCTAGCATATATAAATTATTTGTTTAGACTTTCATGTGTTCTTCTCAATGAGTCAAATTCTAGTTATTCTAAATCATAAAGTGGTGGTTTAAACATAACAAAAATCTTGATTTGCTTTTCACCCTGCAAAAAAAAGGAACATGGTTTTGTATAAGTCAATTGTTAAAATAAAAAATGTGATGTACTTATATGAAAACATAATTGTTAGTATAATGTTGTTGTGTATATGCAGGAGTTGCAGAGTGTTAAGCGGTGGGCAGCGAGCAGCATTAGCGCGCATTGTTGACAACAGCGATGGTAATGGAGGCGTCCCCGTCCCCGCAGAGCGTTGGCCGCGAGTTCGTCCGCCAGTACTACACGCTGCTCAACAAGGCGCCTGCCTATCTGCACAGGTTTACTATCTGTTAACTTTGATATGTATAAAATTGTATTATATGGTGAATATCACACACCATACTTTGTTTTTGAGTATATAGGATATAACAAAACAAGAAGCTTCATATCTGCTTCTGCAAATAAATATATTTTTAGATTTTGTTATGACATTTTTAAATATAGAAAAAACAACATTTTAAGAATACTAATAAATTAACAATTATATTCAATATTTATATATTTATGGTATTACACAATACTTTATCTCTGTCTACCCTTAATTTAGGGTTGGTGTATATTAATATATAGTTAAATGCAAATGTTCAAAACTAGTGTTGCAATAAGTTAGTACTGTTGTGTAAGACATGGAATGCATGAGTCAGACAACACCATACAATAAATATTTTAGTCCACAATAAGGCATTCACATTACATGATTACTTCTCAGATTAACTCATCATTGTTTTATTATTACTACTTTTACATATTGATAACAACTTTTGTATCATTACATCTTTTATGTTATATTAAAATTATGAACTTAGATTTGGAAATTAGAAATTGGAATATTATTATCTCAGGCTTTTTTAATGGATTGTTTTATGTGAAAATGGTTTCCCCTGTTTATGTTGACAATTTTTTTGTAATTTAACTAGCCATGTGTATTACATTTACTATTAAACAATAAATGGAGGCAAATAATTACATCATTCATTTGTAGCATTTCATCATGTGTTTCAGGGAAAGTGGTACTGCTGGCACATTCAGTAAAGATTTACATAACTCAATATTTGTTATACTATATGTATATATATATATAATTTGTGATGTTAATGGTGGTAAGTGTATGTGGCAGGTTCTACAACAACTACTCCTCGTTCGTGCACGGCGGGCTGGACGCGCCCAACCGCGAGACGCTGCCCGTTGTCGGACAGAAGCAGATACACAACCGCATACAACAACTCAACTTCCGCGACTGCCATGCCAAGATCAGTCAGGTCAGGACATTCACAAATGTTATTAATCTACATCATTCTGAGTCAACTTATATTGTAATAGACTGAAATGTATAAAAGTATTGGCCGTCTAGGAAATATTTAATATGTTTTATGTTCAGGTGGACTCCCAGGCGACGCTGGGCAACGGCGTTGTGGTGCAAGTGACGGGTGAGCTGTCTAACGGTGGCGCACCGATGCGCCGTTTCACCCAGACCTTCGTGCTGGCCGCGCAGTCGCCCAAGAAGTACTACGTGCACAACGACATCTTCCGATACCAGGTGCGCAGTCTTATCGCATGGATGGAACTAGTGAGCTGCCCGCCGCTACTATCATAACGA